GGTCTCGTTCGGCACGAGAAAACTGAATCACAGTGTCATAGCTGTCCTCAGAAGATTGCCGTTTGCTCAAGGATCAGCGTTTCGCGAGTTGCCAACCCCTATCGGCAACCTTGAACACAATAGCAGCCGGCCGATGCCCGCGAATTGGAACAACCTCAACCCGTTCATCACCGTGCCGGGAGAGGATGTGTTCTATCAAGCACCCAGTCCCCCTGGTGTCCCCCTTTCCAACCTTAACCTCGTGATCGACCTTTGGCCAATTCTGGAAGAAGTCACAGCAAATTTTATATGATATTAAAAAATATGACACTTGACTCGGGTGATTGATGAGCTATTGTCGATTGTTGGAATGAACCAGTTTACATCTTAAATACTACTCGAAGTACTACTGTAGTACAATACTAGGAATCGTTAGGCCCATGTGGATGCCACCCTAAGAATATCACGATACAGTGCTGTAAATGTAGTCGGGCTTGCAATGTGATCGACGAAACGAACTAACCGTGCAACTGCTCACAGTCGAATGCTGCAAGCGCCCATTGTACCCGTGTAGTCACGGCTGTGGCGTTCGTACGTGTCCTTGAGCACGTAAATACTCCCAGGTACATCATCGTGGACGAAGGTGGCCATGTCGGCAACTAAAGCGTTGTAAGAGCCCTTCGTTACTGTAGAGCAAGAACACGATATCAAATGAACTCATTAAAGTTATGCATTACACTTGTTCACACCAGCAATTGACCACACTTCCCTTGCGTTCCGTCATCAATCAACCCAGTCAGATGTCAACTGATTGTCAATTGCGGCATGACGCGACCTTGTAGTAAATGCGCCATAAGTCGATCACGAGGTCGGGCAGGGGATCCATGGCGGGAGCAGGCGCCATCCAGAACACATCCTCCCCCGGCACGGTGATGGACGGGTTCGAACCGCTCCAAGCGGCAGGTATTGGAGGGCCGTCGTCTTCGCGAATGTAGGCACACAAGCACCCCCCTTCGTGTGGAACAACGACGGGCGGCAACGGCAGCTCACGAAGGGCTGCTCCTTGCGCAAATGGCATCTCATTGACAACAGACATCACACTGGGGTGCAGCGCTCTCGTGCCGAACGAGGCCGCGTCAAACACAACAACGTTCCCATCGGCATCACGGCGGAAGAGCACAGCGAGCATCGCAAACGTGCCATCGGGGTAGCGATTGAACACGAAAATTCCAACGAAGGCTCGAATGAGGGGGTTGCCAAGGAGTCGTGTGGCCCACATCTGCAGCTCCGACAGGGTGCGGTCATTGTACTCAATCTCGATGACAATGCGAGAGGTCGGTACGCCACGGGGAGGTTCTGCATCGACCTCGCCAGCAGGGAGAAGGCACGGTTGGATGGCGTAGTCGAAGATGACATATGAGGCAGAGATCAACATGTCAACCTCCACATTTCCATATAGAAACGGGCTGTACGCATTAACGTAGCCTGCAACGCCATTATCTAGGCCTTCCAACGCACGGTTGGCTGGCGCGTTTGAGACCTTGGTCACAAAAACGTCCCCCGTTGCGCCGTCTTGGAAGAAGGTGGCCAAGTTGGCAACTCGCGACGTGAAAAACATTTCGGCCTCGCCGGCACTGACGTTGGACGCGACGAGCACCGGCAAAGTGCATGGAGTGAGGTCCGGGTCGTCGTGGCGGAAGTTCTTGGCAGCGTTGACTTCAAAGCGCGTTATCGCATCCGTCACCATCTGGGCCGTGACCTTATCTTGCATTTTTGAAAGTGACGATTGTGTGGAATTGACTCTTGTATCGTTAGGGCACAGTCGCTTTGAAGGTCAACTGATGTAGAGGATTCTGTGAATTAGTCTACATCCGTCCGTACGACGTTCTCGGTGAAAGGTAATCATCAACGGTCAAGAGGCTGCTGGGGTTCATAGTCACGTCCACGACGACGCCCAAGCTGCAGCAACTCGATATAATTCAACTACTCGAGACACCAATTTTTGTAGTTTACAACTGTTGCGTGAAACAGAATCCTTAAGAGCGACAGTGTCCCAGCAGACTGGCCAATAATCGATATTCCAACATCCTTGACCTCCAAAATATCACATGACGAGAACGCCACCAGGCTGGCGGCCCGGGACCTCACCGCTCCAAATTTCGATGACGCCCAACGGTTCTGTTGGCTAGTTGCCGAGTGTCCAAGTTTCTTGGGAGTTAAGGCTCGTTGGTGGATCGAGGTTGATCACGACGAGAAGTATACTAACATTGTAAGATCAAGTTTAAATTGATGATGACAACTATTATGGACCAGAGGAGTACTAGTAATTGATAATGACACAAGTAATATCAAATCCAACGACCACCTTTACTTATAAAAATGACAAGAAAGATCAAGAAAGATCAAGACCAAGCATGTGAAGCAAACAATTCCGCGCTTCAACCACAACGCGCCAACCTCTTCTGCCTCCACGATCCAAACCTCACTCCCCCTACTCCTTCAGTGCTCGTCGCGTCCAACTTCAGTGTCGACGAGGCCCTCCGATTACTCTTGTGGCGAATTTCGTTTTTGGCCTCCTTCGCCCAGGATGTGAGTGAGGCAATGGGGGACCTACTTCAGTCCCACACAAGCTTCACTGACGTGCTACCAATAAAGAAGGCCTACGGAATGCGATTGAAACGTATGGTCATGCGAGGATCAGCCGGGGACGTACGCGTGTTTTCTAACCCGGAATTTCGCGCTGTGCCGACTATATGTTCAAGCCGTGCAACGTTCTTGCTCATCACCCTGACATCAGTAACGTTATAACATCGACCTGATTTCCCACCCCTTCGACATTGAGCACAGTCAGTCACATCGGCTTATCGGGGCTGCAGGGGTGGGCTATCCGTCTCTTTGGCGCAGTCGTTGGAATTCACATCTACAGTTTCTATCTCAATGGCATGTTTGCGAAGCTCGCTGGGCTCTACTGCCGTGATATGAATGTTGCCGCGTGTTTTATGTTAATACTTTTAACTTATGCACTGTACAGGCCCTCAAGGGAGCACTTGTAGGTCGTCCGGTCCTTCACTGACCTACAGTACTAGTATTTGCTACTACCGCCACCACTGTTGTTTGGTTTTTGGGTTGGTTGCCCATGTACTGTACAGTAACTCTTCAAACTCGTAGACGTGTATGACCACATCGTACTACTAGTACATTCGTCTGAGGTTTAGTAGTACGAGCGTACTAATTCACGTGGCCGCCAACCTTGGTGAAAAACTTGGGGGCGGCGTCCACCAGCCATTCCTTTTCGATCGGCACCACGCCTCGAATGTACTGCTTGCTTGTAAACACAAGCTCGTTGAACAGCACGTACCGGGGCGCGGGATTCCGCATAAACATCACGCTCGATGGATGCACCTTGACCTCTTCCTTCTTGGGCAGGCACATGGTGTGGTACGCCTGGGTCCCATTCAGCGCCGACTTTTGGCGGGTGGCCGAGTTGAGAAAGAAGCCGGCGACCATCGCCCGCCGCACGGGAATCGTGTCGGGGAGTGCCGACGACGCCATGTCCGCGTCCGGCTTAGCTTGGCGGAGGTAGCGCACGAGCTGGTCACGGACGCTGTCGACGCGCTGCATGGCACGGAGGTTGATGAAGTGATCCTTGGCCCACTTGAAGCGCTGCTTGGGGCTGCATGTTGCGTACGCGTTGTACACGTTGAGCAGCATGAGCTGGTCGCCGTCGGATGAGACAAATGGCGCGCGAGTTGCGGCTGCTTTCTCCTTGTTATCCCGGGGCGAGTAAAATATGGACTCGACCGCGAGCATGGCTACGATCGAGACAGCATCCCCGACACAGTCCAAGTCGACGGCTTTCAAAAGCATGATGGAGGCCATGGGGTCGACAGGTAAGCTCGCCATGTTTCGACCTGGAAAACACGAGTGTAGTTATTAGTGTGGAGTCGTGAATCGAATCGACAAAGTAGCCAATGAAAATATCGAATGAAAGACTTTTGACCAATCAAATAGCAGGGATATCCCGTTTCACAAACAGTTGAACAACATTGTATCTGATTCACAGGGAGTATATATATATATATATATATAGTTAGTTCAAGTAAAAACAATGTCTCGACGATATTTCAGCTGTCGAATCTACCGAAAATACCACATTGCACTGCTTGAAAGTACAATAGAGGACGATATTTTGCGTTGATGTGTACCCAATTCCGTCAGAGCCCCCGTGGTTGTAAACGCGCCGAGCGCGTACAGCTTTTCTAAGGCGTGCAGCATGTGCTTGACGTTGGGGCGCTCGATAAACTCAAACGACAGCACGTCGTCGATGCCCATGCACTTGAGTTGCAGCACAACCATCTCCAAGCTCACCTATAATCCCACAATGGATGGATATATTGTCAAGTCGATTCGGGATTATTATTCGAGTGTTTGGGTGCTCAATCGAATGACCAGAATAACCAAATCATCGGCAGACAATCAATCATCGACCAATCAAAACTCAGAACACGAATCAAGTGGCCAATCAAATTCACTCTTCGACCATGTCAACATCGAATTCGTATGTGACTGAAATTAGTGTCACGCCGGACGATCTTTACATGCAAAAATTCAGTACAAAGAAGTTATCGATCGATAGATTTGGCAAAGAATCAGCACAAATGTCCAAATTTGGAGTAAAAGAAACACAATATTGTGCTTTCGAGTGAAATTTCGTGTTGTGGCGTGGTTTCTCGTTGGAATTTAAATCGATTTGATTGGCTACTTCAGATGAGCTCAAAATTATTAACCAATCAAAACCTTCTCAATGAAATTCAACCAATCAGATCGGTTGTGGATCGGTTTGGTCGGCGCGATTCGATTGCACCCCCTCCCCAAATTTGTATCAAATCGACAATATCTATTGTCATGTGTTGTATGAAACATCATCAACTAACACCGACACGTACCCGTTTGATTTCAGGAATAGCGCGCGCCGCCAACTCTTCAAACTTGGCTTCAGGGAAGAGGCGGTAGCACACGCCAGGGGCCTCGCGCCCCGCCCGCCCGCTGCGCTGCCACGCTTGGGCCTGGGAAATCGGTTCAATCTGCAGCGTCTCCATGTGCCCGACGAACGACCGCTGCTTGACCAGTCCTGCAGTGAAAAGGAAAGAAATGGTTTATTTAGCTATTCTACTAGTACTACAGTAGTAGTAGCTCCCAACAAGGTATTGTTTCACTAAAACAAACGACTCAACGCGTATAATATATATATATATATATATATAGTAGACGCAGTAGTATATACCCGTGTCGATAACGAACCGGACGCCGTTGATTGTAATGGACGTTTCGGCGATATTGGTGGCCAAAATGACTTTGCGCACCTATTACAAGAGGAAAATCGAATATCAACGCAATCTTTTCAATTGGACCGAGGCAGTACTAATATCAATACTATTATGAATATATATATATATATGCCAACACGTTAACGACATCAATGTAAACATAAAGCAAAAAGCATGCTAACTATACGAACATGGGGTGGGGCAGGCTCAAACGCAAGCATCTGCGTCTCCCGCGGCATCGCGGCGAAGATTGGACACACCCACAGCTTGGGCACATGCGGCGGCAGGCGGGTGGCATAGTCATTGAGTAACGTTTCCATCGTTTCAATGTCTTCTTGGCCAGTGAGAAACACAAGGATGGACCCCGCGATGTCCTTCTCGTCCAGGTGGATTTGCAACGTCGTGATCAGGACCGCGTCCAAGTAGTCTGGCAATGGCTTGATCGTGTAGAAGATGTCCACTGGATGTGTCCGCCCTGGAATGCGGAGGACCGCTGGATTACTACAACCACCCGTCGACAAAGGTTACATTGGGAGATGGTGTGTCTGTGGATAGAAACATCGGGGTTAGCAACGCACCTGTCGGCAAAGAAGTTGTGGAACAACTCGACGTCCAACGTAGCCGACATGACCACGACCCGCAGGTCGTTCTTGGCCCCACGACTAGCCAAGGCGCGCTTAACAATGCCAAACAAAATGTCCGTCTGCAACGACCGCTCGTGGGCTTCGTCAAGGACGATCACCGAGTAGTTGGCCAGATCGGGGAAGAGCAGCGCTTCTCGCACGAGCATGCCGTCTGTCATAAACTTGAGTCTCGTGGCAGGCGACGTCGTGTCGTCGAACCGAACGCAGTACCCCACGGGGCCATTCGGGATCGTTGTGTTCATTTCGGCTGCCACCCGCTGCGCCACGGTGATGGCGGCCACGCGACGAGGCTGGGTCACAGCAATGCGCTTGTGCGGTGCTGTCATGTGACTCTCGAGGATGTACTGCGGCAGCTGCGTCGTCTTGCCGGACCCGGTTTCCCCCACGAGGATGAGCACGCGATGCGTCCGAAGACTGTCGAGGATGTTCTTCTTCCACGAGTAGATCGGCAACGACTCCCGTACCTCCTTCATGGACTGCTGAGCTTCCCATTGCCGCTTCTTGGACGCGATCGCGCCGCCGCCAATAACGGTTGAAGCCATCGTCGAAAATGTATGTCGTGGCGGGTGACCAATGAAACTGCAACTGTTTTTTTCGGACGTATTTTTTCACTGATAACGTTAAAAAAATACTTGGGTAGTAGTCAAGATTTCAAATGGATTTTAACAATGTAATGCCATAAACACAGACTCGTTATGTTTGAAAAACGTTTTAAATGGGAGTAGTTTTTTTAAATGTTTGATGTGTAAAATCAATCCTAACATTATTACACCATTTTGCCGTTAATTTCAAGAAAAATATCTGGCATATTTCGTGGAATATCATTTAATAACGTTAGTAAGTTTGCAGTGTTTTCCATTTAAGTTAATTCCGTGGGAAGTATACCAGATCTTTTTCGAAATTAACCGCAAAATGGGAATAACAAGGGAGAAGCATTGATGGTACTATTACTGTAATAGTACGAGTACGACATGCCGTTATCTCTTGGTGGTCAGCATACTAGTAGGTAGATTGAAGTGGAATACATAGACATCGTACATGGATGTTGATTCCTTGGTGGAGTCATCGAATCAACATTGGAAAACCACCTCGTGCATATATCCCTTGGCCAAATAGTACAGTACCGTAATATTAAGGTGTATAACGTTAGTATCAATGTCATATTGATACTACTAGTAATGTTTGAAGTTTGCGAACGCTGTACTACAGTGTAGTATACTTTGTTCAAGTCATTTGATATAAAATATTTCACCTTACATTCGTAATTAGACGTTCGCGTACATCGTATTATTTTTAAATAATACGATGTACGCGAACGTTATTATTTTAAAAAATAATAACGAACTGTCCAAAACAAAACAGAAATTCGTGGGGTTTCCAAAATAGGAGCTACTAGTATTACTAGTACTGTAGATCCACCTACTCACTCCCTTGGTACATATCATGCGCCATCCAACGTAGCGTGTATGCAAAGCAGCGCTCTCTCTCTCTAGATGTCCATCCAACCTTCGTTTAACTTTATATACTTTTCAACGTTCCGGTAACATCAAGACTTCAACGCGAACTGACTATCCACCACCTCGTCGCGCGCGAGTCACTTCAACTTCAACCTGCAAGACCCCCAACAACTTCATTAGTGTGTCATTTCTACATTGGATATGCCGTACGAAGCCGTGGTAAGTCCCAAATTGGTGGGCTCGTTGCCTCGACCGACTCTGCGAACGACATGGCTCGGCGCGGCTACATTTGGCTGGGCGTCCCCGCTGCTATCGCTTGGCAACCGTCGGCAATTGTCCGCCGCGGATATGTCGATGCTGCCACCACCGTCAGCTACCGTGGCGGCCCTCACGTCCTCGTTTGCGTCCACCTACTCCCAGCATGGCGCCAGCCTTGTCCGCGCGTATGTGGCCACATATTGGCCGCGTCTCGTGTGTATTGCCGGAATGCAACTGACGGCGGCGGCGTGCGACTTGTATGGACCTGGCTACGTGTTGCACCAAGTGGTCACTTCGGTGCAGACGACAACGTCGACTGGCTTTGACGGGTCGTCGACGTTGTGGCTCGTGCTGTCGTTGTTTGGGTTGCAAATCACCAGTGCGTTTGTGAAAGCGCACCTGCGATACCACATTGAACTGACGGGGATTCAATTCTCGGCCAGTGTTCGAACACTGCTCTTCGAGTCCGTGCTGCATCCAAACGACCCAAGCCGTCAACAAACGAAATCCAACGCTGCTGACGTGGCCAACCTCTTTGCCGTCGACTTGCTGCAGCTCATGAAACTCACGACGAGCCTCACCATGATGTGGATCACGCCGGTCCAAATCACCGTCGTGGTCGTGCTGTTGCATCAATTGGTCGGGTGGGCCATCTTTGTGGGCGTGGGGGTGATTGTCCTCATTTTGGTCACCACGTCGTGCCTCGCCGCGAGTTTCCGAGGCTACCAACGGAATTTGCTGCAGCGAAAAGACGCGCGCATGCAGATTGTCCACGATTTGTTTGGCTCGATTGCCATGGTGAAGTTGAACGCGTGGGAGGAGCAGTTTCTGGCTAAAGTGACGACGCTGCGTCACCTCGAGTTGGTTGCTGTGTGGAAGTTCCTTCGGACGTTTTGGCTCCTGGCCACGTGCATGCTCACGACCCCCGTGGTGGTCACCGTGTCCATCTTTGCCGCGTACACTTTGTGGCTCCAGAAGTTGCTCACAGTCGCCACAGTGTTTGCCACGTTGGCCCTGTTTCGCTCGTTGCAAGACGCTCTGATTCAACTGCCGGCGGGGCTCACGGGGCTCATCCAATGCATGGTGTCGATTTCCAGAATCCAACGTGAGATTCGCTTGCACGCGACCACCGTGATTCACGACGACTATTCATCCCCTGATGACGACGACACCGTTCGTGACAACGGGGACAACGCGGTGACGATAGCTCAAGGCACGTTTGCTTGGGATCAGGGTGACGACGTTGAACCAGTGCTAACTGACGTGAATGTTGTCCTCCCACGTGGCACGTTCACAGTGATTTGTGGTGCGGTGGGCCAAGGTAAGTCGACGTTGTGCGCTGCCCTCTTGGGCGAGCTAACCACCTCGCAAGGCCACGTGAGCCTCGGCTACGGTACCGTGGGGTACGTCGCCCAACGCCCTTGGATCCAAGCCGCGACTCTTCGCGACAACGTTCTATTTGGTGCCCCGTTCGACCGCGTGCGATACCACCAAGTACTGCACGCGTGCGGGTTAACCGCGGACGTCGCTGCGTTTCCGGCCGGCGACCGCACGGAAATTGGACCGAAAGGCGTCAACCTCTCGGGCGGCCAGCAAGCGAGGGTGAGTCTCGCGAGGGCGTGCTATGCGAATCCGGACATGTACATCCTCGACGCGCCATTGGCTGCTGTGGACGCGACCGTGGCCAATCATATCTTTCGGCACTGTTTCCTCTCGTACATGCGACACAAGACAGTTGTGTTGGTGACGCATCACCCTGACATCTTGGCGTCGACACATGTCGACCGCGTCTTGCAAGTGCAAAACACCAACGTCGTCGACATTACTCCAGCCAAACCAACTGAAGATGCAGCACACATGGAAGAGAAAATTCCAGTGCTTTCCAACCCCAAGGATGACACATTTGAAGGCGAAGATGCATTTGAACCTGAAGGAGAGCTCGTCGTAGCTGGGGACGTGGCGGTGGCGGTGGAAGGTCGAGCGACGGGCCAAGTGTCCAAAGCAGTGATCCATGCATATATTCAAGCGATTGGAGGCTACAGCGTGCTGGTGGTGTTGTTCGTCCTGACGGTAGCTGTGGAAGCCGTGCGTGTGGTCAGTGACCTATGGTTGTCCCATTGGAGTAGCACCACACCCATCTCCGTCGCCATGCCATCCAACTCGTCGATCGCTTCAGCCACGTTGGTGACTTCGACCACCAAATTAGGCGTTTACGGCCTCTTGATCTTTACGCTGTGTGTGTGTACGATGGTGCAGCTGTTTGCAGTGTTTGTGTTCACCCTTCGCGGTTCCAAGCGGCTGTTTGGAGAGATGATGCAAGGCCTCTTGACCGCCCCCGTCAGTTTTTTCGATGCAAATCCCATCGGTCGACTACTGAACCGTTTGGGCGATGACGTGCTGCAGACGGATTTGTCTTTGCCCGTGGCGTTGGCCCCCACCCTTTGTGAGACGGCAATGGCCCTAAGCAAGATCGGCACGGCCGTTGTCATCACGCAGTGGATGGGGTTGCTGGTTTTGCCGCTCTTGTTCGTGTACGTCAAGCTCGGGGGATACTTCCTCGCTCCCCTTCGAGAGCTCAACCGATTGCAAAAGACGGCTCGGTCGCCGCTACTGACGGCCGTCAGCGACGGACTGGACGGTGCCGCAACGATTCGAGCGTTCCGTGGCCAGCGGACTCGGGTTTTACGCCAGCATGTGGCCCTTGTGGACGAGTTTTGCGCGACGCAAGTGGCCACGGCCGCCGTGAACCAGTGGTTTGCCCTGCGCGTGGAATTGCTCAGCAACGGCATCGTGCTGGCGCTGTTGATTGGCGTGGTGGTTCTGCACGATTCCATCAGTCCGGGGCTGGTGGGGCTCGTGGTCGCGTACGGGTTGAGTGTGCCGGCAACGCTAGCGAGTCTGGTGACGTTCTGGGCGCAGCTTGAAGTGGCCATGATTGCACCAGAGCGATTGCTTGAGTACATCCATTTGGATAAGGAAGGCGCCCGACATGAACCGGGCGATACGACGCGTGGTGCCGAGTGGCCGGCTCAAGGGCACATTGCATTTGAAAACGTGAGCTTCCAATACAGCGCGTCCGGACCTCTCGTTCTTTGCCACGTGTCGTTTCAAATCCAAAGCGGTGAAAACGTCGGCGTGGTGGGCCGCACAGGCGCTGGCAAGTCGAGTTTGGTGCAGACGCTGTTCCGTATGTACCCGTTGACCGACGGCCGCATTGTGATTGATGGCGTGGACATTGCTACTGTGGGCCTACGCCACTTGCGCAGTCGCATGGCCATTGTGCCGCAGAATCCAGTGCTGTTCCGCGGCACGATTCGGCACTACTTGGACCCGACGGATGCGTTTGCTGACGACGCGCCGCTGTGGCGGGCCTTGTCGCAAGTCGAGCTGATGGACCGTGTCGCACACGATGAGAAAAAACTACACAGCGAAGTGGCCGAGCTCGGCAATAACTTTAGCGCTGGCGAGCGCCAGTTGCTATGTCTGGCACGAGCGCTGCTTCGACAAGCCAAAGTGGTCGTGCTGGACGAAGCCACCGCAGCCATTGACCACGACACAGACACGCGGCTCCAACGAGTGGTCCGCGACGAGTTTTCAAAGTCCACCGTGCTTTCGATCGCCCATCGACTCGACACAGTATTGGATTACGACCGCATCCTCGTGCTAGATCAAGGACAAGTTGTCCAGTTGGACACCCCCGCAGCGTTGTTGGCGCAACGTGGAGGCATCTTTTTTGATTTGGTTGCGGATGGTGGGTACTTGGTTGGTGGACAAGACGGCGACCACGGTACATGCAAGTACATACTTGAAGAAGTAGTACCTCAGTAAAGCTTCGATAACTACATCTTTCCCGACGTTATGATTCGAACCCACACCTGGGTTTGGGTTTGAAACCTGTGGATATTTTTGTGGTGCCACGTCATGGGATTGTATTCTAGATAGACTAAGCATGATTGGCTGGAAGTCGTCCAATCCATGGCACGCGTTTCAAAACGCTTAGTATTACTAGTAGTAGATTCCTCGTTGGAGTTAGTCCTGTTAACTACCTACGGTCGTGTCGTTCATGG